TCCCCCCATATATTAATCAAGTTTTTATGTAATAATTTGAATAGTACAGGGGATACTATATGCAGCGCTATACGGTAGCTTGCCTATATATACTATATCTAATTAATATTGAAAAGAAATTTTAAACAATATTGATATTAAATATAGATTAAATAGTAGCTATGCTTATCTACTCAAAAAAAAAGTTTTTATATTTAGAAAATTTAAAAAAAGAAATAAAAATAATCAAAACTAGAATTAAGTTGAACAAATTATAAAATCTGTGAAAATAAAAGTTATATTTTCAAAAAAACCTTGACTAGATTTATTGTATTATCTCTTTGATTCTTTGTAACTTGTCAATATGGCTTTTGTTATTATAAATAATAAAATATACTTGAGGTTGTTTATTATTATAGTTATTATTATTATTATTATTATTGGATTGATAACTGATTTAAATCAGTTGTTGTTATTATTATTGGATTCTTTATATTATAACTAATCTCATTTATATATTTTTTTGTTTAATATTTTTCTTTTAATATATAGTCTTATTATATATAATTTTAAATAAAAATTTATAACTGTTTGATATTATATTTAATATATATTGGTTTTAATATTTATTTTTTGTATTGTTTAAATAGTTTATTGTAAGAAATATTATTAATTAATATATATAAAATCTTTTATATTTTACAAATAATAAAATAATAGAATTTGTATATACTCAATCAATTAAAACTTAATAAAGCAAGGTGTACGCCACCCAGTTTAAAAAAAAATAATAATAATAAAATAATAATATTTAACTATTTAAAAAATCAAAAATTAATACTTTATAAATTAATAATCTATTAATTATTTTTTTAAATTTATAAAATTCTTTGATTTCATTTTTCAAAATTATTATATAATTTGTCTCTGTATTTTAATAATCTTATAAAATTTTGAAAAAAAATACTAATTCTAAAATTATTAATTTATAGTGATTCAACTGTATATTAATTCTATTTAAAAAAATATCTATAACATTTAACATCAAAATAATATAAGCTAAGTGATTTTAGTAATTGTTATCTTTCATAATAACTTCTGTATATAAAAATTCATTATTCTCTTGACATTCAGTACATAATGTCCTAGGATTTCTTAAGAAAACCTCTTTCCTGAAAGATTAGTTTTGATTTTCATGCAAATATAAAAAGTAAAAGCATTTATAACTGGACAATTAATAATTATTATTTAGAAAGAAAATATATTGTTTATTGTAGTTAACATGAATTTATAATCTACATTTATTTAACTCAAATATTCTTTCATTAAATTCATCACATAATTAATATGCTTAACGTTATCTATCCAATCAAATTACACTGTAAAATACATGTATAGTTTCCACGTTTAAATTATTTTTCCGTTTTTTCAAACGTCGAATGTTGCGCCAGATTTCTTACTAAACCTTCACGCCTTCTTTTCATAATTTCGTTTTCACTTAATATATTTTGTTTTTCCCACAGAGTATGTTCTCGCTCATGTCCTGGCGATAATTCGATTTCTGATGTAGAAACATGCATCTGAGGTGAAATCGATGATTTCTCGATCATTTCATTAGAAGTAAATACATTGGGAAGTGAATGTGAAGTATGAAGGTGTAATTTTGTTATATTTTCGTGATTTTGTTGAGGAGAAACATTTATATTGCTGTTCTGCTGGGACTTTGTTACACCATTAATTGTCGAACGACGAGATGTAAACACAAGTCCTTCATCTTCTTCGCTGGTAATTTTGTTATTTGAATTTGTATTTTTCGGCGTCCGAGACTCTCGGAAACATTCCTTTAGCCATTGTGCACACACTTTCACTGCTCCCTTACTTTCTGGTAACAATTGAATC